TATACATTTAGAGGTAAGTATTTATTTCCGTGGGTGTCTTATAATACTTCAAATAAAAGTCAGAAAAACCTCTTTGACTCTGATAGATGAAACAACTACCTTGAATGTACGAGCTTTCGTATGAAACAACTGTCTTGAATGTACCAGACGTTGAATGAAACAACTGTCTTGAATGTACCAAACGTTGAATGAAACATCTGTCTTGAATGTACCAGACGTTGAATGTAACAACTGTCTTGAATGTACCAGACGTTGAATGTAACCACTGTCTTGAATGTACCTGACGTTGAATGAAATAACTGTCTTGAATGTATCAGACGTTGAATGAAACATCTGTCTTGAATGTACCAGACGTTGAATAAGACCATTTGGCTTTTCAGAAGGAGAATATGACCTTTGGTTGACTTTAGCATACTACTGACGGTATTTAGGACGATTAAGCGTTAGAGTTGCGCCAAAACGGTTTCTTACTGGGCCTTATTACGAAAAATATTCAAAGTTAGTCTTAGATTTAAACTAATAAGCTCTTTCACGAAAAAAATACCGCGGAATATATGAACTAAAATGTAAAGCATAGAGTTTGACTTTTTTTGTTTTTTAATTTTTTGCCAATGGCAAAGACTATTTTTTTAGTTGTAAGGGCTCTTCTTTAAACATAGCTTAAATACGAGCCTGTTCAGTCAAGAAATCACTTATTATACAAAAACGGATTAGATTTATTCACTCCAGTCGTACCATAACTTACTGTTAATAATGTAAAATATTTCCAAAAATAAATTTAGTTAAAAGGTTTGTATATATAATTTAAAAAATAATTATAAATTAATATAATAATTTAAAAAATAATTTGTGCTTTAATTTATCACGTGATTATTTATGACCTTTTTTACTACTGGGAAAAAAATTCACTAGTCTAACGATTATGATAACAACGAAATCAAGCGAATGCTTATTTGTCAGACATAGCCAGCCATATACGTAGGCTAAAATTTTAGAATAAGCAAAAATAACAGATAAATAATGCTTATTCAGGTCATAAGTTCTGTCAAAACCTTATTATTTAAAATTTTTGAATACTGAATAGATGAACTTCACCAATTTTAAAAATACAACGTTTGCCCTTGGCGAAAATAAAAAGACATTAATTATCATTCGTTTTCAAATATGGAGTGGTCAAAGAAAGAAGATAGAGTAACGTAGTACAAAAATTTAAAATAACCCTAGGGTTTATTTATTGCACTATCAAACGATTCCCTGAAGTTTTAAGTTTCGAAGATCGTAAGAGGACCGGCCGACCTCGTACAGTTAGGACACCCGCGATCATCAAAGCAGTGAAGGCGCGAATCCAACCCGTAATTATACCCGACTAAGTATATCTCCTGAAACACAATGTAACAATAGTTCTTACTTAAATATAATATAAAACAAATAGAACAAAAAATTTAAATTGTTCTCAGCATTTTCCACGCCGAAAATCCAAGTCCGACGCAGCACTGGTTTTTAGTGCTAACCTCCGTGACATCCCCAATGCTATTCAGACCCATCTCTAAACTGATGACACATGAACCCACAGAAATAAGCAACTAAATGTATATCTAATGATTCCTTTATTTACTACACATGGAATGAAACTAATTTTACGGATTTTACTTCATTTAATTTTAACTTTTTCAATACCCGAAGTTTCAGGCACTTTACAGCACCCATGGTCAGGGGTGGATTGAGGCAAACAGTATAAGGACTGAGGTGTTCGACGTCCCAATGTCATAGTTAACCACGGCTACGTTCAGATAAAAATTATATTAATATTTGGTCCGATCTACGCTGTTTGAACTTATAAATATCTTGAAGTCTTGCAGTTGCATGCTTGGGTTGGGATTTAATTGTATTGATTATAGGATCCCAATTATTGAAATTAGAATGTTTTGGTTTCATTAGCCTCGCGAATCATCCTTGGAAGGAATCCGAATCAGAATCAAATGTGATGTAGCTACGGGGGCAATCCTGTACGTGTTTACATACTGAAAACTAGAATAGAACATATCGCTGTTGAAAGAACACCGATTCCTACCAATAATGATTCACGAGGCTATTTAAATTAAAAAGCATCCTTATTTCAAAAGAGAAGAAGGTTGGGCGCTATCATCTGCTTGGGATCCCATAATTAATAAAATTAAATTCGAACCCAAGCAAACTACTGCAACACTTCAACGTACTGTAAGCTCGTTCTGCGTAGATCGCACCAAAAATTATTAATTGAAAGTTGAAGTTAGCCTTCGTTAATTATAACATCAGGACGTCAAACACCCATTCTGAAAAAATTATGTAATCGTAAAAGACAAAACTTTATTTACATTATTGTTCACTCCCGTGAATGCCATAAAGTGAAGAAAAAAAGGAAAAGGGCCATGGGTGCTTTAAAGTAATTAACCGACAGTAGCTTAATGGCAAGATGCGGACCACGAACTAAAAAGGTCGTGGGTTCGAATCCGCCATTCGACTACTGTCGTAAACCACTCCTAACACGAACATTTTAAGCTTACCAGGAGTGGTTACAGGGAATATTAGTACCTAATGTAAATGGCATTGCTAGAATTTGTATTTAAAAAATATATAAAATGAAAGTGCCCGAAAATTCGAAAATTAATAAATTTAAAATTAAACGCGATAAAATCCGTAAAATAAGTTTTATTCCATAAGTGCCTACCATTGATTTGCAAATGGAATACCGTGATTGAACTTATTAGTACAACTAACTGCCAAAATATCTTCTAAAACACACGTCGTATAAATGGTATCGTTCCACTTGTATCGCCAGTACAATAACGCGCTTGTTACGTTACTTGAAAATAACGAAAAAGTTAATATAATTATTCATTCAGCAGTTTTACACAACAGTGTAGGTAACATTGTTATTACGTCCTTTATCGTGTAATGTAACAGAAACAATACGAGTACACACTGCCTAGTTTAAAGTACGAGGGTGGATTGAAAAGTACTCGGCCTAACCAAGAAAATAAACACATACTAAATCAGTTATATTTTTATTTTTCTACATAATCACCATCAAGTTCAATACACTTTTGCCACCTCCCCTTCCAAGCATTTAGACCGTTGAAAAAAAATGATTCTTCCTTAGAGTCAAAATATGCGTCTACAGCTGCTTTGACCTCGTCGTTTGTCGAAAATCTTTGACCTCCCAAGTGCTTTTTTAGGTTAGGGAACAGAAAGAAGTCTGATGGTGCCAGATCAGGTGAATACGGCGGATGCGGTAACAGTTCAAAGCCACAGTTGTGAATTTCAGCCATTGACTGTACTGACGTGTGAACACGGGCGTTATCTTGATGAAACAGGACTTTTCTTCTGAGCATTCCTCGACGTTTTTCTTTTATTTCCTCTAAACGACGTAGTAAGGTGCAGTAGTAATCAGAGTTTATAGTCTGACTCCTTTCAAGATAATCAATCATAATTACACCTTTCGAGTCCCAGAATACTGAAGCCATCACCTTATTTGCCGACAAAATCGACTTAGGCTTTTTAGGGGTGGTGAACCAGGTCTTATCCACTGTTTTGATTGTTGTTTTGTTTTCGGTGTACAGTTATGAACCCATGTTTCGTCCATAGTAACAAAACGATTCAAAAAATCATCTGCATCGGCTTCAAATAACTCCAAACAGTCGCGTGAAATAGTCAATCGCGTCCTTTTTTTGTTCAACTGAAAGCAGTCGCGGAACCCACATCGCAGACACCTTGTGGAAACCCAACTCGTTGACAATGATGTTTTGAGTTCGTTCATAAGAGATGCCTATAATCTCGGCTATCTCTCTAATTTTTAATCTGCGGTCTCCCATTATTAAATCAAGTACTTTTTTAATATTTTTGTCAGTAGTTGACGTCGAAGGCCTTCCAGAGCGGGGTTCATCTTTCACACTCTCTCTACCACGCTTAAATTCTGCTATCCATTTTTTGACGGATGAATATGACAGAGCACAATCGCCTAATGTACTGACCATGTCATCATGGATGGCTTTTGATGATAGCCCCTTCTTATGGAGGTACTTAATGACGGCACGCTGCTCGATTTGCTCCATTCGCGGAAATTATGTCCGATTACTTTGTTAATAAATTTATAAAATCACAACTAATTATCGCACACGTTTCGAACTTCACACAATGAACTAGTCTGAACTGAACTAAATAATGTGGATAGATTTGATTTTTAGAATTGAATGGATCTGTGTTAGGCCGAGTACTTTTCAATCCACCCTCGTATCAAACAAAAATAATTTACTCACAGATCGGGGTAAGCTTTATTAAATTTAACATTTAAAACTCGAGGTGTAATCTTGAGCATGAAATCGTTATTTATTTCATCGCACATCAGAAATAAAATATTATGCGCAGATAAGTCGTTGAATTACTGGGTTACTAACTGGTTTGATTTAATATTATGATGATACTCCCTAACTCTGTAATATTTAACCTACCTAGTTATTCTGGATGTGATAGAAAGAAATGCATTATGTATTTATCCATTATATAGTATTATATATTATGTGTAAAAATTTTATTTTCATGTCCAGTTAGATATGAAAAAAATTACGTCATCCTCTGTCATTAACAAAATACTTTTACTATTTCGTAATGCCATTATTCTTAACTTATTAAAACGTGAATTATATGGTATAAATTAAAACATTCTTATTTTCATGAAATACGACATTAAACTGTATACGAGTGCGCAAACGCCATAAAATTTTGTTCATCGCTTGTTTTGTGTACGCAAAGTTAAATTAATAAAATACCTAATCTTAGATAACAATCTGTTTATACCATTACTAGTAAAGTAGCGTTTTATCGTGTTTTACACGGTGGTATATTTTAAATTCTTTTTGAATTAGAGACAGAGTTAACCCTGAAAAAGGTTTTTGCATAAAATGTAAAATTTAGTAGAAGTAAATCGTCTTCAATTTGTAAATTTTTTGTACCTTTATTTTCAGGACTCTGATCTTTCCGTGTTCGAGACTACGATTAGGTTCGTGGGCGGATTGCTTTCCTGCTACGCGCTCACTGGTGACACAGTGTTCAGGGACAAAGCGGCTGAAGTGGCTGATGCCTTACTGCCTGCGTTTGAAACGCCCACGGGCCTGCCCTATTCCCTCATCAACCCCTCTACTAAGGTATGTAAAATGGAATAGGCACTGCATTGCATTTAATGAACTTAAGGAAGATCTTTGAATATAAAATTTTCTGAATTATCGTTTACATTTATTTTGTTAATTTGTTTATATTAATTATAAAATTATACGCTAGTACGTTAGAGCCGCGGTAGCTCAGGAGGCGTTCGTCATAAATATCTTAATACCCGAGCGAGTTCGATTCTTACCGGCGCTAATGAAATCTTAATTACAATTTTAAAACGCTGGTGTTCTATGCTCGGTTGTGAAGGAAAACTTCGAGAGGCCTGTGTCCAGCAGAGGGACATATAGCCTAATTCAAAAAAAGATGAACAAATGCAAAAACATTTGCCGTGTTGTGACGACGTAAAATAATCTATATTATACCTATTTCTTCCCGTGGACGTCGTATGGGAAAAGTAAGAAAAAATCTCGCGCACCCCATAGAAATTACTTATTACCATCCCGTATATACATAAATGAAAAATATTGAGTAGCCAATTATGACGGAGGCCTATGTCGGACAGTGTTATGGGCTAATAAAGAATTTACCCGTGTGCGATCAAGAATACATTAGGTAGTCGTCACTGTTTATGTATTACATATTTTATCATGGTTGACTTAATGATACAAAGGATCCCTGGCATTGTGTTATTATATAATAAGCAAGCAATCACTACAATATATCTATAAAATTTATTTTACATATTTATCCTAGTTCATTGTTAAGGGGAAATATAACCTCAAATGGCTTAGCAAGATAATCCGTTATGCCGAAAATATTGCAGCATTAATTTTGAAATAAATATATGGTAAAGTTGAGGATTAATGTTAAGGACTATGTTAGACGAAAACACGATTCCGTAAAATTTCTCGATATTTCTATCGAGAAATTTTACGGAAATCCAAAGTTACCTCCAAAATAAACAATAAACCGCTGTTATATAAAATACTTTAAATAAGATCATGAAACTTTGCATACTAACTGAACTAACTATAAAGCAGTGCTTATGTTATTTACTTTTTTTTAAATACCATTATTTTCACTGTAAAAAGAAATTACCAAAACTATCGGCTTCTTGAAGCTTGATTCCTGCCGCCCGGTGCCCGGTCAGTTTCGCTTCGGCCTTTGAAGGGGGAGGTTATGTCGCTTACGATCAGAATACACATTACGCAACAGGACGACGTAAAATTAAAATGGGAAATAACCGTAATAAAAATAAGAAGCGACAGGGTTGGCGTTAAGAAACAGGCATAAATATGGTAAACCTAATGAAATAAGTATCTAACGACCTATGTACTTACGGTATTATTAGTGATTACAAACATGTCGGTATATAGCATACGACGCGCGGGGAAGTGGGGGCGAAATTAGAATTTGAGCTGACTTACTATATCCTCTTAAACAGAATTTAAGAACAATTAGTAAGGAAAGTTTTATTTTATGACTGAGTTAGAATGAATGACAAACTACTTTTATAATTTTCTCAATAATATTTTGAATTAATTGGTTCTCGTTAATTTTAACTAAACTTCTTGTTGAATTCCCTAAAGAAAAATGTAAATACCATGGAAATTGAAAGATATATAACAATATAAGTGACCAATAAACCTTTTGAAATGCATGCAGAAAATCAAATAATAGCATTCCCTAAGGTTTTATATTCCTTTGTAAAATCTAAAAACGCCACCAGTGCTTTCCCGAGAAATTGTCATACAATCGCAGGGAGATTATAACACGCCTTCAAAGAATGGTTTCATTCGGTATTCAGTAAATAAATAAAATGTCTGTTAAAATTTAAATGCGGTAAAATCCGTAAGATCCTTATTTCATAACTCAAAATCGCCTCTTCTGAAAACCTTATTTTGTTAATAAATAAAAAATAGTAGTATTTATAACTTTATTTCTTAGTAATTATTTTATTTAAGATTTAACGAACTACCAGGGCCAGGGCGTCATAATTACAAAGTAGTAGTACATAATTAAAAAATAAAATCCTTTTTCTATGAATAAAAAATCATGCACGATAGAAATAGAGTCTTAAATTTTCTTTCGCCGCCACCATTAATGGTGTTATTTTAAATAAATATTATATTCATGAAATGACAATTAGAATTTTTTATATGCATATGTTTGCAATGGATAATTTTTGGCAACATCGCTAACCGCACTGTTGAATAATATGTAGGTACGTCTGTTCATAACACTTGCCTTTATAAATTTTGTGCGTGAATTTACTGTTAATTACCTTTGAACTTTGTTACTGGACGCCTAAAATCTCTCAAACATTTCGAAACACTTATAATTAGTATGGGTATTGTACTTGATGAGTCGCTCTTTATTGCCGGTGGCCCTGGCCCTTTTAATAAGAGCAATGTATTTTGACATTGGCGAGTCGTCGCTAATTAATGAATCGCTCGGAATTGTAACAAAGTAAACTTTGCGGTTGCTTTGAAGCGATTACTAAATCGGTTTATGGTCCGCAGTAGGTGCTTTTACTCCACTAAAATCCGATATTATATTAAGTCATGTAAATTTATTGGCGAAATGTATGTACTTTTTATAGGTTTAAATTATAAATTTAAATGATTGAATGATTTTACGTGGTAGAGTTACTTATTATTTTTGCAGTCGTTGGGTAATCTCGATCGGAGAAGGATGTTGCTGTGTTCCGCCTGGTTAGAGATGAGAATCAGAGACCTCATTTGTGATAACAGGACGTTATAATTATACTATTATACTGTTAGCGACAATTTCAAATGAGGAACTTTCAAAGTGCGTGCGTCAAACTAATTTGTTATTATTAACGGCACAATATTTTTGTCAAAGTAATGAGGAACTGGCCGTGCCGTTATTTGATTGGGTCGAATGCTCTCAGAATGCATTGTCTTTAGCCACGACATTGTCATAAACAAACATTACGCAGTTGACGAGAGATAAATTGAAACAGAAATAAAAACTTTTTTATTCAATATAGATTATAAATAATACGTCTTGAAAGTCACTCTTTTAATTTACCACTGATTAATAAAGTTATCACTGTTTAATAATATTAGCCTAGTAGCGGCGTGTAAGAATATCCACTAACTACCCCATATTGTCCAACGGGTGTCGTAAGAGGACGAGAAAATGTCTAGTACCACGTATTTTCACGAACGAACGAATGCGGTAGGTAATAAAGAAATATTTAAAAAGAAGTTGAAAACGTGGTTGCTGGATAATTATATGTGTAGTAATTAATACTGTCTTAATTTAAGTTAAAGTTATAAATTAATTTGATTTTAAATGTGTTTAATGAGTTTAAGTATTAATCAGGATACATATAATAAAGTATATAACAGTAGTAACGGCGCTTAGTTTTAATTAGTTTAAATCTTTAAATTTTAAATTAGTGTAAATTTAATTTTCTTATTTTAAGTTTTTAAAGGACTGCATTTTAAATTACAGTAGGTACAGTTTATGTGTATTTTAAGTTCTTAAGGATCATAAAATTTACAGTAGGCACATATAATGTAAGAGGGTGATGTGTTCGCCAACAAACTGCCCTGCAGTTTGGCGAAAGTTGTATAAAGGACAACCGACTGTATTTTTGTGTAATAAAAAAAAGAGTCAACAGACGGGAACAGAAACAGGAGATAGGCACCCGTATCTTCCCGATAACAACTCTAAATTAAAAAAAAATTGCAGTTGCCAACCGCCTGCTAAGCGTGGCATCGAAATTCCCTGACGAGGCAATCTACGCGAAAGTCTACGAGTATGTTCAGTAGTGAATTTTGATAGGCTGCAATAGAAGGATGTATGGAATAATAATTGGTTTGTTTCAGGCGAGCCGCCAGTATCACTGGGCGGGACCGAACAGCATTCTGTCGGAGATCGGCACGCTGCATATGGAATTCACATATCTAAGTGACGTCACTGGCCGCGATGGTAACAACTACGTTAATCTGTATAATATACAACCGATGAGAGTTAAACATATAATATTTTACTTACTATACTCTGTGAAAATAACGAACGATAGAAGTATTAAAGATTGTTTTAACGAACTTTTGAAATGTATATTATATTCGACGATAGTAGGCAATATCAGTAACAAAGGACAGCCACAATATATTTTATTTAATCACAACGTTCCGTAGAGTCCATTGCAGGACATGGGTCAAGTGATAGGCTCACCTGATGTTCAGTGGCTATCGCCGTCCATGAACTGCAACACTAGGAAAATACATGCGTGGCTAAACTTTTAAAAAATAATATGATTCTTTTCTTGAAGTTCCCTAAGTCGTATCGGTTCGGGAAAATCGCTGTTGATAGCCGATTCTACAAAATAGTCGTGTGTGGGAAAAACTGGTATACCGCACAGTGAGTGACCGCCAGGCATATAAATGGCATGGATGCCTTGCAAATTTTGGTATAATGGGGGTGACCATTAAATGAACTACGCAAATGTACGATTGTGGATTTGGATTTGGAGCAACCTTGACGATGGTATGAAGGTACCTCGTGAGCTGATAGTCCTTTCGTAGGGATCGGGTGCACTAAATCTGTCTTCAGTGAGTTCGGGACTACGCCTAGGGATCAGGTGTGCCGAAAAATCCACTCGTTCGTATTCGCCACGGTTAGCAGGCGGATTTACGAACGTGCCACCTGACGTGTCGTATCTGTGGCGCTGCTGTTTACCACCGGCCTGAGTATTTTAAGTCTGGACTAGACTAAATGGTCACACCGCCATGTATTGGATTCCGTGAGATCTTTTAGCATTTTTCATAGTCGCCTCTTACAACGCCCACGAAAAGAAATGGGGTGATGGATTCCCTTTTGCCGCCACACGGAAACCAATAATTTATGATTCAAACCCAGATTATACCATTCTATTCTATTGTGGAAAGTCAGAATGTTTCAAAAAAGGCACTTAGGGCAATTCACAACGCTGCGTTAGTTAGTGAAAGTTGTGGCAGAAGAAGCATAGGAGAAGAAAAAATGCCGTAGAAATGCGGTCAGGACAGGACATGGACAGGGTGAGAAATTGTGTGATAAGAGAAAAGTGTGTTTTACAAAATGATGTTGTGACCAGGATTAAGAATGCTTCGGTGGTTTAGTAATGTAGAAAGATGAACGAGGAAATAGTGACAACGCAAATCTTGCTTAAGAGAACGGCGGAGAATTACGCGCTTTATTTCCTCCCTCTCTCTCCTTTTCACTATCGGACAACCAGGCGGTCGGCGGGTCTTCACCCCTTTATTGTCGATGTTCCACGCATTAGAACCATACAGTTTACTTCGTCTTACGTAATACGCACAGCAAAGAAGTGGAAAAATTTGCCGGCGTCTTTCCGTCCGAATACAATCTGGGCGTCTTTAATCCAAGTGTGAATAGGCTTTTGTTAGGCTAAGACAGTGCGATTTACCATCCCAGGCTACATCACCACTTACCACTACGTGGGATTATGCTCAAGCACTGGCTTATTGTGTGTAAAAAAATATATTACACCATTCGATCATCTGTCTCAGGTCACAGGTGTCCTTCCCGCGAGAAACAAATATTTCTATGAGCTACAAATATTTATTTCGGGTCTGATAAAAAGAACCTGATAAGTTCTTAAGAAGTGCATCAGCATTCTGGAGAAGGGCTGATGTACCGGGCATAGGCAAAACATGGACTAAAAAGATGATGAAATGTCAATACCCTTATTTTTTTTAGTTTACAGAAAGAAAGTCGAACGAATCCGCGAGGTCCTCAACAACATTGAGAAGCCAGGCGACCTGTATCCGAACTTCATCAACCCGCGCACCGGCCAGTGGGGACAGAGTTAGTATGATTTTCTCATAGTGAAGTAATTCAATTACGGTATGAATTTTCATCGCATGTATTTTTTTAAATTTTCAATGCTTCTTTTCGTTACTCCTAATATTTCTCAATATAAATAAAATAATGATTGTAATGTAAGGTTTTTATACTCTAGTCAAGCCACTTTAAGTTGCAAAAACAGTTAAATTATGGTTGGACAAGTAGAGTCCAGCAGCAAATCAGCACTTGAAATTGCAATTAACAATTTCATTGGTGCCGGCGGGAATCGAACCCGGGTTACTCGCGTTCTGTTATATTTACAACGAGTGTTAACTATCTACCACGGCTCTGATGCTGATTTACCACGTGCGGCGGTGAAGGAAAACAACGTGAGAAAACCTGCATGTCTGAGGACTAAGAAAAAAAATATTTTGAAGACATGTGAAGTTCGCCAACACACATTGGGCCAGCGCGACGGACACTTCCTTGCCCTAAAACCCTCTCAGAAATGTGAGGAGGCCTGTGCCCAGCGGTGGGATGTATATAGGCTGTAACTTTACTTTTAACTTTAGTAGAGTCCCTCGATTATGCATGTTAAAAGTAAAAAACGGTAAACTGTTAGGAAGACGCTAAGACAGCTTTCAAAGAATGGCTATACCTATTCGTAGTGTGGAATGAACTTATAGCATATAGCAGTTATACAGTAGTTGATTATTGAATTAAGGTAGCTTCATACGGAAGCTTTTATTTTTCCATAATAAAACGTATTTTCAATGCATGCTAAATAGGAATTGTTTTTCTTTTTGTGCTATGAGAACTTTTTTATAGCGTTAGGGTGACAAACGAGCACACAGTCCACCTAACGGTAACTGGTTGCTGTGAACATAAACATCTAGATGTAGATGTTTATGAATCAAAATGCACTGGCTTATTGTATGCATGCGTTGTCACCGGTGAGGACTAAGATGGAATGCCTCGTTTCCAGTAAGAAGGCTCTCCGGACTACCATACGAAACACCAGCGTTAAACTGCTATTTTACGCTGGTATTCTGTGAGAGCGTGGTCCTTCTCCGGTCGAGCCGACCCATTCGTAATACAACTATACTACTAATATAGCTACAGCATGGTTCTACCACGGAATTTAATATAAATAAATCCCTGTGTCTTTGTGCCCAAGTACTTCGTGTACGATGGGCGACATCATTGGAAAAGGAGACCATAATTTATGGACGGTTTAAATAAATTCTGAAATAACTTTGTGGAAATTTTATTATATTAGGTATTAAAGGTAAGAAAATTAACGTGTAACACCTCGCAAGTTCACTGCAGAACAAATCTCTTTCCCCACCCCCACCCCACCAAGGATTGTCACAAAACACGGTCCCGACGCACCATCCACCAAACACTCCGCTAAGCGTTTCGAGGTGGTACTCTGAACATTTCTCCATCATCGGTTTATGTTCTTCAAGTTATATCAGTCGTTTACTGTCGGCCTATTGCCACTTCAGCTTACTGAGAGCTCGAATTTATTCATTGCGTATTTTTACTACACATAGAAACTCTGAACATATAGGCCCTCCGATGTTTCAATACACAATACCTCTTAATATCAGAAGAGATATTGGCTCGATTGATCTTCGAAATAGAAATATTTCTTCCTCAGACGTGCAGGTTTTTTCACGATGTTTTCCTTCATCGCTGAGCCGCCGGTGGTTGGTTCGCGATCGCAACCAAAGTCGCTAACAATTAGCCCCTGAGCTACCAGGGCGACATAACACAGTGACATGTATAGTGTATAGTATTGTGTGGTACACTCTAGGGCACATGTCGCTGGGCGCGCTGGGCGACTCGTTCTACGAGTACCTGCTGAAGGCGTGGCTGGTGTCAGGGCGCACGGACGAGCAGGCGCGCGCCATGTTCGACGCCGCCATGCGCGCCGCGCTCGACAAGATGCTGCGCGTGTCGCCCGGCGGCCTCGCCTACCTCGCCGAGCTCAAGTACGGCCGCATCCTCGAAGAGAAGATGGACCATTTGTCCTGCTTCTCCGGTGAGTAACCCCTTTCACTCAGCAATTATAAAAAAATTCTAAATGAAATTCACATTTAAAATTTTGCCTGGACTTAGGTCTTTTCAAGGCGCACATACTGACATGTGCAACATGAATTGTTTACGCAATTACGCATTCCGCTCTCATTTAAGTTTTAAGCACACAACTATCACACACATATTCGTTACCCTGTTCCCTATTACCTGTATGTTAGAATATTAGAATATAGTCGGGTATCAATAATCTCGTTTGTTAATTAGCAGGAGTACAGCACTCAAATGAATTTGACCATTTGAAAAAAAAAGTAGAGAAACCCCACAAACCAAGCCTTATTGAAAAAATGTGTGTTATCAAGATTATCACAAAAATCTTCTTTGAAAATATTAAAATAATAACTGGAAGCAACCTCTTTTAAAGTATTCTGCCTTGCTTTACAATCCGAAATTCGTGCAAGTCTCTATTTGTAAATTTTAAAACTCTTTATTTAGTAAACTATACTCGGTAAAGGCTTTGATGCATATTTGAATTTTTTGGATACATTAAACTGATGCAATTTATGTTAAAAGGGTAGTCAAGCGATTTATGCAAACTAGTAGAAGGGATATTATAAAGTGTATGTGACTATTGCTACGTTAACTCGAAATAATCCACCTTGACTCAAAGCTCAAATACACTTCTCATATGTTTCGAAAAAAGTTATTCTTGTGGTTAAAAATAGATTGAAATACCTAGCTGTGCAATTACTTCGTTATCGGAAATTAAAAAAGATAATAGACGGTTAAAATATTGTTGAACTTGCATATTAATTGTACGTCATGTGTCATTAACAAAACGCCAGCTTATTAGTCGCCATTACCTTTCCATCCTAACACTAAATATTTGTCTTGCACTTTAGAAGCTACTCTCCGTTATTAATGTAGGAATTTAAAGCGCCGTAATTTGAGAAATGCTACTATAGGTTTTCGAAATATTTCTTAAGTCGCCCATAACATTAAGAAGGGTGACAAAACGAAAGTGAGTTTATTACCTTCATTCATATAATCTCCTATTGGTTTTAGGTGGTATGTTTGCACTGGCTTCAACCACGCTCGACAACTCTGAGTCGGAACGCTACATGGACGTAGCCCGCAAGCTGACGCACACGTGCCACGAAAGCTACATACGCTCCGAGACCAAGCTCGGACCTGAGGCCTTCAAGTGAGTAGTCGCTTGATTTATGTTCTCCTAGTATTTCAGACACGAAGTAACCTGTGATTTTGGTCGTTGATAATTTTAAATTTATTAAATATTATTAAAGTAAGTAGTAAGTATGCGTACGGTACCCAATCACCTTGGCCTCATGCACCATTTACCCTTGGGTTATATACGGAACTGGGCTACAAATTATATTTTTATTGTACACCAATACGATGTTCGCAAAAGCTAATTAATTCGAAGCTTAGGAGGGGCGTTTTAAAGAAAACGTTATTTTGTTAGTATAATAATAGTCCTCCAGACCGAATTCCGGCCACGGCGGCCTGCCTCAACGGAGGCTAGCCATCGGCGCAGGACAGGATTATAGTGCCCAAGTGTATGCGCAAGCACAGGTGCACTCTATATTCCCTCATTCTCATAATCCGATGGGACGGTAAACCGACACGACCGGAGAGAGATCAGGCGCAGGACCAATGGTTTTACGTGCTTTCCGAGGCACGGGGTGGGCTTCCTGACTCCGGGCAGCTACTGAGAATTTCTTGATGGAAAAACTCAATATTGTTTTTGGCCCGGCCCGGGATTCGAACCCAGGACCTCATGATCAGCAGTCGCACTACTACAACCACTAGACCAACGAGGCTGTCAGTTTGTTATTATAGATCTTTGCAGACAATTTTTTTGTTTTTTTTTATTTATTTTAATTAATTAGATTATTGATTATTTTCGATTCCTTATTGATGCCGAAAGACGTTACTAACATTATCATGTGAGAAATAAAATAGATTTCATATGTCTAATGCGGGTTGGTAGATAACATGTGCAATCTACCAACCCCCGTTTTAGACCTATGTTACAAAATTATCTTACGATATGAGAGGTTTGTGTCCAGTTGAGACAGTCGTGGGTTTTTAGCTTTCCGTAGTTAATCCGTAACCATAAAAATTTATTCGTTTTGCCATCTCACTAAGAAAATAAAATTGCCATATCCTTTCCTTTTAAGTCATAGTTCTTTAGATTTAAAACAGAGCTGTCCTTAAATATCCGCTAGTACGTTTGAAATTGATTTTCCGCAATTAAATAGTTGCCAAACCCGTACGATTGCTCATCTATTTTTATATTAAATTTTCTCCTTACACGTCTAATCGTTCTTTATTATGTTTAAGATTCTCTGGTGCAGTAGAGGCACGAGCGCAGAAGAGCAACGAGAAGGTGTACCTGCTGCGGCCCGAGACGTTCGAGAGTTACTTCATCATGTGGCGACTCACCAAGGAGCAAAAATACCGCGACTGGGGCTGGGAGGCCGTTCAGGTACTCGACGCCTGATTATCGTTTATGAATGTGAAGACCAGTTTCTTTAAATAAAAACAAAAAATTTGCTACTTAGGATTTTTGATTTTCTAAAATATATTTATTTATATTTCCGTATATATAGTATTAATAAAGAAACTTACCTTTTAAATAAGATAAAAAATCTGTGCGTGTAATTATGCACGTATGAAGTGAAACGTCTTTACGACACAATTATCATTCCTCTTATATTTTATATTTTACATAAGTTGGTTGAGTGAGGCTTACGCAAAAAAACGTTAAAATAAAACGTGATGTTTTTTTTAAATACCTTAGTAAATTTCTCCACTACGTCGATAAAGAAGTTTCACTCTTCACTAAACAGGTTAGCGGCCAAAATTCCGAGTTTTCCACAGGGCTCTAATGCACTTGATTCTACTATATAATTATCTCTCATTCTAGTGCTTTGAATATTCGTTGTGATCTCACCCTATTTGGTTTAAACAAAAGTACTAACATTCTATTAAACATTACTAATATTACATATAACTACTCCCAGTAAGCTTAAAATGCTTGTGCTAGGAGTGGTTCACAGTAGTCAAATGGCGGATTCAAACCCGCGACCTTTTGAGTTCGCGGTCCGCGCCCTGCCATTAGGCTAGTGTCGCTTACAAAATAGTAAAACTAAACTTTTCTTCTTCGATGTCTGGTGATGAATTTAATTAATTTACTACATTAAGCAAAATAATTATACTTTTTACAAATTTGTTAATGGTAAAAGATTAGCAGTATAATTAACTATTTAGTAGTAGACTAGACTTTTTAGTAAAATTGAAATACAGATGAATTACGATATTAAGCACACTTAACTTATAGCTTGTATTAATTAATTAATTCATAAAAAATCCAACAATGTATTTATTTTGTATAACTCTTTATAATATAGTATTTATAATTTATGAATTTTAATGCTATGAAGCAATAACAACATCAATTATCGTAGGCAGAATAGAATATGCAAGTAAGCCATTAGTGTAGAATACAAAAACAATAATTAAATAAAAATAATTCTTCGCCCTAATAGAAGAGTCTATGATTTATAATATTACACTTGTGGCCGGTGAGGAAGGAAAAGGGGAGATCTCCCGCCGGGCAAGGTGTTCTGCCCGGGGAGCGGCCACCGCTCCGTGTGATAGTTCGGATTTGTTCTATATATACTGTTTATGATTCGGAATGTTGATAGCGCGATTTAGGCTTCGGTGTGTTTTCGCTTGTGGCGGCGACGACAGCGCCGCTACATCACCCCCTGCTCAGACCGGAGGTCGTTAGTGCAGCCTTGTTGCCGACGAATGTGCAAGTGCCAGTGGATTGCCTTGTAGTCTGCGGTGAGTCGAGAAGAAGGCAAGTAATCTGCGAGAGTGCCGTGAAGCAGAGGCGAGCAGTAAGGCTCAGAGCCGTGCCGAACACTGTATAGCACAGAGAGTAGCTTGAAGGAACAGGAAGCATTATTATTCCAATGCTGCGATGAACGTTGTGAAGCTAGATGGCTTGCAGGATATGAAGACTGCAGACGATATCTGTTCGGGAGCGATACGGTGGGGTATTATATGACGATGATGAAGCTTGAAGTTTCCGAAGGTAATCACGTCGGGGTCACCACTGTGGCCGGTGAGGAAGGAAAAGGGGAGATCTCCCGCCGGGCAAGGTGTTCTGCCCGGGGAGCGGCCAACACTCCGTGTGATAGTTCGGATTTGTTCTATATATACTGTTTATGATTCGGAATGTTGATAGCGCGATTTAGGCTTCGGTGTGTTTTCGCTTGTGGCGGCGACGACAGCGCCGCTACACACTCAACCAAATCTAAGGATTGCCTTTTGACATTTCATATTAATCACTTTGTGCAAGCGTACTCACATGATTTAAAAGTACCTGGATGGCCGAGCTTTGCTCGGTATTTTTTTTTTTTTTTTTTTGGAAATCGTGTGTTTTGGAAATTATATTTAGATACAAATTACATACTAATGAAATATGAATAATATTTTTTGATCGTACCGACATAATAGTAAAAACTGAACTGGTTATTTGAATAAAAAATCATGAGTGCAATTAGTTTAATTTAAATTTTCGTGTTTTTAAAAAAAATACTAAAAAAGGGCTCAAAATAATAGATTTTCTCACAAAAGAAGGGAACTTAAAAAAAAAAGGAAAAAAGTCGGACCGAACACAGGATCCGAACCAGGATACTACGATTTCGGGACCGCCCAATAACCCAATTCGAGCTGTTATAATCATTACCGCATTGTCAAAATTTACCTTCTTATTCTAATGATATCGTAGCAGTTTTTCGTTGCCTGAAAACATGGATAAAACGACATTTTCTAAAAATGAATCCTAGCTGGATCGATTTATTGCCCCCGAAACACCTTGGACACTAAATTTTATGAAAATCGTTGGAGCCGTTTCCGAGATTACGATTATATATTTTTATATACTCGTTTAAAGGTATAAGATTTATTTTTACGTAAATCCAAAGAGTTATAGAGTTATTTATATATATATATATATATTTCATTACAACAAGCATAGTTCTTTACTACACAAGCGATAACTGGGCCAAAGTGAGGGAGAAAGCAAAGAACATTATTATGGAAGACTATGAAAGAGACATTCATTTTGAATGCATTATAGAAAATCAAATAATAATTAATGTAAACAATGATGATGACGACGGCAGCTCATCTAGTTGCGCGGTGGAAGTGATTAAATAAATTTGTTTTTAATTGAGTGCATTTTTAAATTTTTCTATTTACTTACACACATAAACTATCTCTAGATATTAGCACTAAGCAATAAATATGAATAGACTTATAAATTTCTGGTTTTGATTTATCTGTTTCTAATTTATTCTCGTATAATCTAGATAAAACTGTAAATGGTTACCAACTCTATAGAATCAATATCAATATCTCTTGAGAATCGAATATTATAGACAGTAGATGCCGATTTTTTAGATGGAATGCCTAGTCCAATAAACGTGACAGCTGTTAAAAGGTTTTTTTTTGATTTGGTTGAAGTTGGTAGAAAGATTCTATCAAATTTGTTGTCCAGCGCTCGAAACTTGTGCAGTTTGCTATATGGATAATTTTACATTATGGCAGGCCCTCGAGAAGCACTGCCGAGTGGAGGGCGGCTACACCGGACTTGTCAACGTCTACCATCAGAAACCTCAAGGTGATGACGTGCAACAGAGTTTCTTTCTCGCTGAGACACTTAAGGTAAAATTAATTCTGTCATGGACCATGTAAAAACCAAAGGTATCTATTTACACTTGTACATGTTAAGTGGTAATTAACTTTTTTTTTATAGGAAATTGGTGACAAACGAGCACACAGTCCACCTGATGGTAAGTGGTTGCTGTGGCCCATAGGCATCTACATCTATCCTCGTTTGTGAATCAAAATGCAGATGCGTTGTTAGCCTTGAGGACTAAGATGGAATGCCTCGTTTCCAGTAAAAAGGGTCTCCGGTTCTCTACACTCACCATACGAAACACAGCAGCATTAAGTTGCTATTTGACGCTGGTATTATGGTAGTACCCAGTCATTGTTATCCACATTACTCGGTAATAGTTTGTGCTAGACGTGGAACTGTTTCAAAATATTCGTCACACTTTTCACGCGGTTTAGCGCTTCGTAGTACTCTATTTGTCCCACCAACGCCGACGCCGTTCGTCAGCGGTCTGATTCTTTATGTGGTAACCCACACTGCAGGTTTACTATAGCTGCAATATATGTATGGGTGGACTCTACTTGGCAAGGATCACACATAATCACGAAATACTGGCGATAAAATAGTACCTTTATTATGTGTGGTGTGTCTAGAGAACCGGAGACTTCTTTTTTGTAACAAGGCATTTCAGTTCTCAGCATTTTGATTCTTAATCAAGAATAGATATAGATGTCTATGGACTACACCATCCACTTATAAATTTATAGCATCCCTATATATATATATATATATATATATATATATATATATATATATATATATATATATATATATATATCATATATTAAGGCTTGGATCATGTTTAGTCACAAGTATATATATATATATATATTTTTTTTTATTTTATTTATGTGTGTGTGTGTAGATAGAAAATTCTAACAGCAATGATAGGTGACTAGCGCATCGCGTAGTCATCTTAGTGATTACAATAAACACGGTACGTGAGAGTAATATGGTCACCTTAAGCTTTGCCGCCCTATAAACAAAACTAGGAGAAGGACAGAGACAAAAACACTAAGTCGTATACTGTAACTAATATATTAAGAAAAAAATTGCAAACAAGCTTTGTCAATAATTAGAAATACTTCAAAACATCTACATATAAAAACTAACTACTGTACACCATACTAAGATCGACTAAAACATTGACTATAATGTCAACTGTCAAAATGGTGTCTTTCGACCCTTTATTATTTGAGTGACACATGAAATGCTATCATATCACAGAGCCAATCTATACAAACAAGGCTGCAGTTTTGAGTTATAAGAAAGTGACCGTATTAACCGGACGACCATATTACCCCCACGTACTATAAACACATTAATTATTTTTTATTGGCTTTATAAACATTTTCTCCTTCTATTATAATGTATTGTAATATATCTTTGTTTACAAATAAATATTAGATTTCTTTACACGTTTATGTTTCATTTCAGTACTTGTACCTCCTATTCTCCGACGACACCCTGCTGCCTCTCGACGAATGGGTGTTCAACACGGAGGCACATCCGTTCCCGATAAAGGGAAAAAACCCTCTCTACCGTGGTGCAGAGAAACCAGTCGAAGTCGCTAAAGACGAAAACCATATCTAAGAACATTAAATCTTGACAGTTTTGGATAATTTGAAAGAATGCAATGCGGTTCGTAGTAAGTTAAAGATTTACACTGCCCCGTGAATAGAGGTTGGTGTGGAAATGTTGTGTGTTGTGTTGCCAGTAACGCGGAATCGAGTCCAACAATCCATCACAATTATTTTATTATTCAAGAACTAACTGTGAATTTTTCTCGTCATAATATTTATATCGAATAGGCGATATAAATTAATACATTATAATTAAAGTATGATTTTTTTTAAATTAAATTTAAATTAAGTATATGTTCAATGAAATAAATCTATATTTTATTATAAAATGTAAGATTGTATACTCACTCACTCAGTCAGTTACTCAGTCACTCCACAAATAAATTGATGTAAAATAACATGTATTAAATTGGGGAAACATTTTCATAATTTGTAATTCGAATTTAAGTCATAGTAAATTCCTATAACAAAACGAACACCACAATAAATAATACTGATGAAATTGAGCCTTTTATAAATGACTTACAAGACATTTTATAATTGAAATATAGTTTTCCTTTCGTTTTAGCAATTTTAAGCATTATTTTTTACACAAAATTTAATGTAAAAAGGTGCGCTGTCGTGCACTTTTCACTTGCATTTATCGATCTTTCTCTCTCTTTATAATAATTAGCGACAAAAACATTTTCTAAATACCTGTACATTTAATAATACTTGAAATTACTTATTTATTTTGCTTTTACTTAATATTTCGAGTTTTGTCCATACATTATTACATAAGTTTGTAGTATTTTTTACTGCCCGATTGATTGCCATAGACTCGCAGCAGGGTTGTTTCTTTTTTAAATTATGAACATTCATTAACAAAATATCACAGAGATTTCGATGTCTTCTTGTGTGGAAAAAATTCAACATTGCAAGCTTAGTCAATTACAAACAAAAATCATTTTTGATATAAATTAAACTGAATACGCGAACAAATAAATTGCAAATTGTGAAGTTTTATTAATTTTAGATAATCGCCTAGAAATATGGAAAGTAAAACATTTGAAATGAAATTATTATATTTATTTCTAACACTATGTTATTTTGAAGACGCGTTTATGGAACATATATCAAGCTTATCAACACGTAAATAATTCAATCATCATTCATCATCATCATTACAGCCCTTCAAGTCCACTGCTGAAGATAGGCCTCCCCCAAGTAATGCCACAAAGCACGGTCCTAAGCCACCTGCATCCATCGACTTCCTGCATGTCTTACCAGGTCGTCACTCCATCTAGTGGGGGGTCGCCCTACATTACGCCTACCGGTACGAGGCTGCTAATAATAAAATAAATAATTCAGTGCATTGTAAAATCTCATATTAGCTTTTTTAAAATATTGTGATCTACAATATATTTATTGCATTTATAACATAGTACTAATGTCATGTGTCAAAGTTAAAAATATACAAAAATTTATGTATAATTAAAGAATTTAACAATGTCTCATTTATGATTGATCGTTGTTATCGATTTCTTTCTTTAACAATCCTAAATGGTTCTCAGCTTTTTTATTTTTTTTTTTTTTATAGAATAGGGTGACAAACGAGCACACAGTCCACCTGATGGCAAGTGGTTGCTGCGGCCCATAGACATCTACATCTATCCTCGATTAAAAATCAAAATGCAGATGCGTTGTCACCCGTGAGGACTGAGATGGAATGCCTCGTTTCCAGTAAAAAGGGTCTCCGGTTCTCTACACTCACCATACGAAATACAGCAGCATTAAGCTACTATTTCACGCTGGTATTCTGTCAGCTGGACGTGGACTTGTTCAATCGTATGAAGATGCCACAAATGTCGACCGCAGTACCACCACGCGTTTCGCACATTTGCCCTAGCCCCGCGGCGCCGCTCGTGTAATGCTATATGTATATTTTACATCGGACATATTATATGCGAGTTGATACTATCGTCTATCGGGAGCGGCGAATTTTTTCTCTCATTTCCCATATTACCATTTTTCGTATCAACGCTATATATTATTAGATTTTGTTATATTACAAAGATAAAACTAATGTTTTGACTTAAAAAGTAAGCATGCAGATTTATTTCAGTATGTTTCTCAGACCAATAAAGGAAGAAAGACGGATCGAAACAAAGCCAAAACCATGCTCAATCAATTATAAGAACTAACACTTACGTACACATTTGCAACTAACGACATGATTTTATGTGCACATCTGTACGTCCAGTAGTGAATTTATGTGGCCTCATAAAGAAAGGAAGAAGAAAGATGAGTGCGGGGAGTGTGTCAAGAAGTTGAGCATGGTTTCGGCTTCACATGAAATATACACATCGCTCAGTATATTTTCTTTATTGGTCTGAGCTAGGTATGTTTGAATGACCAATGCCATTGACATAACTGTATACAATTTTTCTTCGATTTAATAAACATACTAATTAATCGAATAACGATAACCAAGATTAAATTTAATACCCACTAATGTTATATTGAACACTAATTAATATAATGAATTCTCTATAGATTAGCAAATTTTCTTTCATATATTTTTTTATTTATTTTACTTGTATATTATATTTGTATGAAATAATGTGATGATTATATTCCTTATCAGATCTCGTATTTATAAAAATATTTTCGAAATTGTTTTCACAATGTTGTCTTGTATTAGCTAACATATTCAAATTTCTAATAATGTAGTAATTATTTGTTTAGAAAATAAAATCATAAACTTAAAGATAACCAAAAGCTGGCCTACTCATTATTAATTAATATATTCTAATGTTCTTCCAAATTTTTACGTTTAATATATTCCTATTTATGTTTAAATTTAATTGACTTCATAGTGGTTTTGTGGGTAGTAGTCGAAATAATGATACTTTTTTAGATTCAAGAGAGTCATCGTGTTGTTTAAATTGCTACAACTTGCGAAATATGTCCAGATTTCGACTAGGACTTCATAACCTCTGTGACTTTATGAAATCCTTTTCCTATGGATTAGTTTTCTTACAATAGGTAAGTATAAGTTTTTTGTGATTATAAATAATGTTCAAAAGTAAATATATTTTAATTTAATTATTTTAATGCACCTGTTAACCTAAGCATCAAAGCGAAAATGTTTCATAGAAGCATTCATGTGATGCATCATACAAAGTCTTCAATACTGCGATTAGTCGAACTGTAGAAAAATTAGTGTGTACATTGTGTATATATAGCCATAGAAAGTCTAAATTAGCGTTAGGTACTGAATGTGTAGTTAAATAGTCTTATTAAATAATGTGTGAGTGTTTGTTGGTGTATTTGTTACTGTAATGCAACTCCATTGCTTTTCTGAATCACAGTGTTATGACATTTCTGTTGTACATAATATTTCCATGATCAGGCTTGATGTCTGAAGAGCAAATTTTAACTTTCAATTTATAAACATTTGCGTCAATTACAGCTCCCAATAATAATGTATTGACTTCTTTAGACTTAGAATCCTTATCGAACGATAAAATTAATTGAATTTATATACATTTTGTAACATACTATAACTTACTAAAACCAAAAAAAAAAACATGAAGTTACTTATGACAAATATTATTTTTCGAATTAAAAATCTTAAAACTCGTTTTGAAAATAAGTTATGTTACTGTATGGTAATTTATGTTAGTCCGGCTCTCATAATATTTTTATATGTAAGAAAGGTCTTTATCAGAAGTCACTGCTGAATATATTGCCTCATAGGGGAAAAATTTGTCAAAGTTGCCGCACTTGGCACACAGCAGTTTTTAAATATTTTGAGTCGTAATAATCTGCTGCTGCCAAGCTCCTGTTCCATTTCCCTCTATCGTCTCTCACGACACCCACGGGACGATACGGTAGAGTGCATTGTCTTAGACCGCCACTACACGGCCTCTATACATCTTGGTATTTGATAGTCGAATATACGTTATTATTATTACATAGAGCTGAAACTAATCTGAACCGAAACACCTGAATTATAATTTGTTATAAATAAAACACTTTTGCAATTTAAAACATCTTTATTGAAGTTCGCGTTCGCAGTTAACACATCACAGATACAAAAATAACCTATTAGGGAATGCTCAACATTCAAAACCGAGTTGTTGTTGAATTGGTTGTATGGTATTGTTAAACAGTTGCGCTTGGCTTGTTGTTGATCGTTTGATTTTATCACTGTTTGCATGACAACCAAGCACAACTGTTCAACAGTACTTACCTACTGCTTGTTATATTACGTATTTATGAAGTTATAGCCTTTAAAATGAATAATGTAAAATTTTCAGTTAATAAAACATGTTTATAAAGCTGTGTTTTCATTGATATCTTTTTTGTGCTAAATATATTTAGGTGTGCTTTTCGATTCCAGTCTTTCTTGGAGTCCCCAAACATTGCAGTGAGCCGATAGCATATTATGCTTTACTCTCAAAATTACGCTTGCACAATCTTTACTACTCCCTATTCTCGACTATACTGACATTTATTACCTTGATATCACGAGAAGAAGAGCAACTTATCAAACTTGAGCAAATCCAAAATCTCTACATACGGTTCATTTTAGGCTTCGTAAATATGACCATGTCTCAGAATAACGCACTAAACTCGAGTGGCTCCCAATCTCTCGTCGGAATACTCATATACTTTCTGCACTTTACTACGTCTTATTTAGTATATCAAGTCCTCCTTCCTCCTAATTTCTTCTTAATTTCTTCTGGGTTGTCTGGAAGAAAGTGCTACGTAGCAATAAGACCGCCTTTTGTTTTCCCCTCATTATTTGTTAATTTTTTTTTTGTTATTTTATCATTTCTTGGTGTACAATAAAGAGTATTGTATTGTAATGTTTTATCAATCATTTTTTCTCAAGTATAATATCTACCTTTTACTTTATAAAACTACATACATTTTTAGTGTGCTCTTGTACGCCTTGAACACGGCGACAATTCTGAATATCAAAGATTACACTATATTATAATTCTACATTACTCACATTAT